GAGAGAGAGAGAGAGAGAGAGAGAGAGAGAGAGAGAGAGAGAAAGCACCTGTCACAGCACGCAGGTGTGCATTTTGTAGCCACATGTGATCTTCCATGTGCTATACAGAGGTGGGGCACAGACAATGCTTATCTCCGTATGAACACATGCGTGTGCATATATGGGACACATCATGTATGAACAGAGGTGTACGCTCAGGGTGACAGTATTAAATGTGCCTGTGTAGTGACCGTATGCAGTGGAGCATCAGGGTGGTTACAGAGACACACTTTGAGGACACTAAATAATCACAATGGCATAATGGGAAAACCCAAGGACTGCAGAGTGTCCATGCCCACATGACCGGGATTCTGTGGGGTGACGGTGCAAACTCTGGGGAGGAGCGTGCGCATCCCGGGGCTGCCATAGCTTGGTTGACTGTGAGTGTATAACTAAAGGTCACCGTCCTCACTGTAGATGAATGCTGGTTGCATCAAACTCTGGCCACAAGCAGAGTGTCTTGCTTCTCTGTTAATTAAGTAAAGGATGCGTTGTGTTAAGTGATGAAAGGGCACTCCCTGGACTAGAGTAAGGGGACATCACCCAAGGAAAATGGGTAGACAGTGTGTGTGTGTGTGTGTGTGTGTGTGTGTGTGTGTGTGTGAGAGAGAGAGAGAGAGAGAGAGAGAGAGAGAGAGAATGAATGGTGCTAGAGCAAGTGTGTGAGAGTGTGTGAGTGTGTGAGTGTGTGAGTGTGAGTGTGTGTGTGAGCGAGACTATGAATGATGTGTGTGAGTGTGAGCGAGTGTGTGAGTGTGTGAGTGTGTGTGAGTGTGAGCATGATGATGAATGCTGTGAGAGAATGTGTGTGTGAGTGTGATGATGAATGATGTGTGTGAGTGTGTGAGCGTGTGTGAGTGTGAGTATGAGTGTGTGTGAGTGTGAGCGTGACGATGAGTGGTGTGAGAGAAAGTGTGAGGATGGGCACACTTCTGTCACATTGCCTTCAAGGGCCCAGTGCACCGCTGCTTCTGCCTCCTCTGCCCACATTCTCGAAGCACCCATGAGATGGAAGACATGAGGAAAGTGGGGCCAGCAGCAGAGCTGAGGAGGGGCTGGGAGCCCAAGGCTGCCTCGTGTCTCCTTACTTAGTGAGAGGGGCCCCTGGGGAGCTGAAGCTCACTGTTCTACACACTCCCCACATTCTCCACCAGCTCCTGCCCTTTCTTGTGCTTCAGGATACTCACCCCGTGTGAGTCTGGGGCTCAGACCCTGTCCCCGGCTGCCCTCACCTCAGTGGCAGACACATGCTTCCTTCCCCTGATGTGGAACAGTCGCTGGACATTGTACGCGTTGGTCTCCGTGTGCTTGAGAGCAGAGGCTCGGCCTCCCTTCCTGTAGCTGAGGAAGGGATAAGGACCCGTGAATGAGAACACGCCCTTGCAGGGACGAGTGTGGGAGTGAGCAAATGCATGTGTGTGAGGATGTGTGGGGATGATATGTGTCTGTGTAATACATGCATTTCAGCGCGTGTGAGCATGTGCGTTTCAGCACATGTGAGCATGTGCGTTTCAGCGCGTGTGAGCGTGTGTGTGTGTGTGTGTGTGAGCACATGAGGCACAAGTGTGCATTGCTTGTTAGCACGCAGCACTGTGCAGCCTGGGGTACACTGGGGATCTCGTGCGTACTTTTTACCCAGGTGAGACCGGAAGAGAGCACATGGGAGGGTGTGTCTGTGTGGTGGCTATACACTCACTCACATTCACACTCACTCACACACACATTCTCTCACACCATTCATCGTCATGCTCACACTCACACACACTCACACACTCACACACTCACACATCATTCATAGTGTGATGGGATAGTCAGTTATGCTTGCCCATCTACAGGTCACGCATGGGGTGGCATGCATTTCTTTCATACACACAGACTTGTCTGCACTGTATACAAATATTCAACCCAGTGATATGAAACAAAAATGATTTAAGATTAGCAATTAAGTCAACCATTTAAATTCTAAAAATGTGACAATTAAAACATTACTTGAGTCTGGTTCTGTGTGGTGCTAAACAGTCGGAATCAGAGACACCCACATGTGGTAACGTTCCCAGGAACTGCAAGCCCCATGCACAAAAAGTGAAAACTCAGCCGGGCGTTGGTGGCGCACACCTTTAATCCCAATGCTCGGGAGGCAGAGGCAAGCGGATCTCTATGAGTTCGAGGCCAGCCTGGTCTACAGAGTGAGTTCCAGGACAGCCAGAGCTACACAGAAAAGCCCTGTCTTGAAAAGCAAAACAAGCAAACAAACAAACAACAAAACAAAACCTGAAGCAAAAGAGACACTTATTATACCAGCATGACAAACAAGCTGTGGTGACCTGGTTCCCACTCCCAGGTACAGCCCGAGGTCAACAACAACAGGGGCCCCACAAACATTCACAGTGGCACTATTCCTAACACCCCCAAGGCAGAAACAGCACACATGTCCCTCATTGTTGAGCTGATATCATACGGTAGAGTCACACAATGGACTATTATCTCACAGTGGAATGAAGTCAAGTCAAGTAGTAATGCATGCCACAGTGTGGGTGAATCTTTTTTTTTTCTGTTTTTGAGACAGGGTTTCTCTGTAGTTTTGGAGCCTGCCCTGGAACTTGCTTTGTAGACCAGGCTGGCCTCAAACTCACAGAGATCTGCCTGCCTCTCCCTCCCAAGTGCTAGGATCAAAGGTGTGGGCCACCTGGCCGTCTTAGTTTGGGTGAATCTTGAAAACAGGATCAGGGAAGGATGAAGCTCTGTGGTTGAGTCTCCCTGCCATGTGGGCAAGGCTCTGGCTTCCATCTTCAGCACAGGTGGGGGAGGAGGAGGAGGGAGAGGAAAAGATTAGGACAAAATGAAAACGAGTCAGCCTTAGAAGCTCACTCCAGAACAAGTCCAGAATGGCAAATGCATAGACAGAAAGCAGGCTAGTAGCTGCTGCCCCTCACAGGACCTGGAAAGAGGCTGCCCAAAGTCAGGGGCTTTTCAGGGTGATGACAATGTTTCAAAACTGATGGTGTGGTGGTGGCATACTTTTTTTTTTTTTTTTTTTTCTGAGACAGGGTTTCTCTGTAGCTTTGGAGCCTGCTCTGGCACTCACTCTGTAGACCAGGCTGGCCTCGAACTCACAGAGATCCGCCTTCCTCTGCCTCCTGAGCGCTGGGATTAAAGGGGGGTGCCACCACTGCCCGGTGGTTGAATGCATCTTAAACCACTGAATTGTGTGCTTGAGCCGGGCGTTGGTGGTGCACGCCTTTAATCCCAGCACTCAGGAGGCAGAGGAAGGCAGATCTCTGTGAGTTTGAGGGCAGCCTGGTTTCCAGCGTGAGTTCCAGGACAGGCGCCAAAGCTACACAGAGAAACCCTGTCTCGAAAAACTAAAAAAAAAAAAAAAAAAAAAAAAAAAAACAACAAAAAAGAATTGTGTGCTTGAGATGGGTGCAATGTATGTGAGCTCTCATATCCTAACAAAGTACACACACACACGTGAACACACACATATGCACACACACACATACACACACACACACACGTGAACACACACACACACACGGAACACACACACACATATGCACACACACACACGTGAAAACACACACACACACACACACACACACGGAACACACACATATGCACACACACGTGAACACACACGTATGCACACACACACATACATGTGCACACACGCACACATGTGCATGTACCATTCAGCCAAAGAAAAGCTATTATCTCAGGGTGGCTGGCATTACCCTCACCACACTGTGTCCCCTCTTTCTGTCCCCAGCTCTCTCAGCACTCACATGACTCCCGGGTGGAAGTAGCTGTGGAAGCAGTCAGACTCATGGCCCTGTGACTCTCGGTGCAGCACCATCTGGTCTCCCAGATCCTCCTGTAGGCGCTGCACAAAGGTGACTGTGGCCCCATGGGTCTCTGCGCTGGCCTCCTTTCCGATCCAGTAGTGCAGGTCGCTCGACCCTCCTTGGGTAGCCTTTGGGCTCTGAGGGACCTAGGGTCCAGGCATTTGTATATGTGGAGGGGGGAGGGGCCCGACTTGAGGGCCTAGTTGATGTATGAGGTGGAGCCCATGATCAAGGAGCCAGTGGGCAGGAGCTTGACAGAGGCTATGAGGGACTAGAGGGCCTCAAGAGCAGCAGCCCCTTGTGGGTGGCTTGTGCTATGGCGGCTTCTGATCTCAAGACAGAGTTTATATCCAGGCCTGAGTTTCTTCAGCAGCTCTGGGCTATGTTGCCCCTCAGAAAGACCCCCAGGTGACTCACATGGAGGATAACATAGCAGCATTCCTCAAAGAAGTTCCCGTGAGCCCTTTCAGGCAGTGGCAGCATCTTTAGGTTCTGGGAGAAGAGGTTGCCAAGTAACAAGTTAGAGACCTCTGCCTGTGACTCCCAGGGACAGGGTGAAGGAAGGAGCTCTAGATGGGAGGGGGCAGGTGGAGGAGGGAGATGGTGACATGGCTCCATGTCCCCTCACCTGGGTAATCCATATTTGGAGCTCTCTGTGGCTGTCAATGGCTGGGAGGTCCTGGTTGGTGTCCATCCTAGGCTAAGCAAGGGTGATGGAGATGCAAATGTTGGAGGCCAACCTCTGGCCACCTGTGTTACAGGCTCCAAGCAAGAGTTCTAGCACCACCTAAAGCTCTCCAAAGTGCTGTCATGATAGAATGCAACTTTCATTAAACATGCAACATCAGCAAACCAGGACAGGCACAGTGATGGCTTACAGGGACAGGGGCAAACCTCAGCAAGCGAGGACAAGTACAGTGATGGGCTTACAGGGACCTGGGCAAACCTCAACAAGCCAGGATGGGAACAGTGATGGGCTTACAGGGACCCTGTGGAGAGCCCTTCAGCTAGCAGCAACATCTGTAGACAGAGAGCTAGAAGCTGGCCACGGAGGGCTGGAGGTGTATCTCAGTTGGTAGAGCACTTGCCTATCTTGTACAAAGCCCTGGGTTTGACTCCCAACACCACACAGAACACATGGTGGTACATGGCTTTAATCCCAGCACCCAGAAGGTAGAGGCAGAGTTCGGGGTCACTCTCAGCTACAGAGTGAATTTGAGGGTAGGACCAGTTACAGGAGACCTTGTCTAAAGAATCAAAAGGAAAAAGAAATACACAGACAGTTTTTAGACAGACCCAGGGTCTGCAGAGTCAGGGACAGTCACTATAGATAGTGCTAAATTAGACTCTGACAAAAGGAACAAATCCAGTCAGTGAGGAAAGACCTGGCAAATAGGGGTGAATTCTTGAAATGGGACTCAGTGTTGTATGGAAAGACAGGTTCTGAGCTCCAGGGAAGGCCAGCAACTACACAAAGGTCTGACAAAGTTAGAAACGAGTATATAAATAGACACAGGGTCTGCATAGTGCAGCAGGCTGTGTAGACAGGGGCTTTACACACGGGCGTGCCTTCTGCAGGCCAGTGAAGCATTGGATGACTCAAGGTCTCCAGAGAGAAATGAGTTCTTCAAACAGGGCCTTCCATCTATACAAGGATAGCTTTGGAGAGACCCCGACGCTACCCAGGAAAGGTCAGACAGGCTTGGCAAACAGGCAAAGACTGGAAGCTGAGAAAGGCTCTGCAAACACACACACAGGAGCTCTGCGGCCTGGGGAAGGCTATGCTAATGTGGCTAAGAAAGGACTCGGTAGAAGGAGCAGCATCCGAAGCTTTGGACAAGCACATCAGCTCACAGGGCTCTGCAGACAGGAGCCACACCTGTGGCCACAGATCGGCTTCCTCATCAGAGGCAGGCTCTTAAAGCCTGGGAAAGTTCTGGGGATGCGCCAGAGCTTCCTATGCAGGGTAGGTCCAGCAAACAGATGATGTCCACAGGTGAGGAAAACCACGGCAGGCCTCGCCAAGAGATTTCAGCTCTGTAAAAAGACTTCCATTCTGCAGTCAGGTCAGGGCAGGGATTCTGCCGAAGAGTTGAGGCCCTTAGGCCTGCAGAGGATCTACAGACCGGTTTTGTTGATGGTGTTGACTTCTCCAGAGAGGCGTGGAGCTGCAGGGCTGAGCCACGGGCAAAGCCAGTGCTGTGTGCAAACACATTCACTCTGGACATAGGCAGGGTTATGAAGTGGGCCTGGGTTCTACGGGGAATCCCAGGTCCTGCAAAGGGGGGTAGGCTATACGGGTCAGTTTGGAAACAGTCGAGGCTCTGTCAGGAGGGATGAGCCCTGTGCACAGGTCCACTACGCACAGCAGTGTACAGAAGCAGAGGCTCTGCCAACAGGGGAGATAAATGCAGAAACACACGGGTGTTCCCAGACAAACATAGCCCCCGAACCGTGAGAAACTCTGCACTGGAACAGGCTGATGTCCTGTGAGAAACTGCACTGGAACAAGCTGAAGGAGTTTCTACCTAGGTCAGTTCAGACAGGCTGTGCCAAGAGGGAAAGCCCCCTGAAAGACCACAGAGTCAGGTGTGAGAATCAGGCTCTGCAGAACATAGGTAGACAGGACATGGCCCCAAATTGGAGGAGGCCCCACCATGAGGTCACAGAGACAGGCTAGCCATCCTGCAAATGTGAAGTATTCCAAAGAGGCGCTTGTGTTCACCCTATTGGTGGACACCCTCCCTGCCTCCCCCCCCCCACTCCCAAATGGCAGGTCCTCAGGAGAGGATGAAGCCCTGGGCCGCCTTGAAGTAGGCAGAGTTCTGACAACTTGTCAGAACACCTTCAGGACAGACTGGAGCAAACCCCCCCTCCCCCCCCCCCCCCACTCCCAAATGGCAGGTCCTCAGGAGAGGATGAAGCCCTGGGCCGCCTTGAAGTAGGCAGAGTTCTGACAACTTGTCAGAACACCTTCAGGACAGACTGGAGCAAACAGAACAAAGACAACAGCAGGTCAGTTATGGACTGCACAGCCCTTGGAGCAGGATTGCTCAGTCATGCACTCCTCACGTCCCCCATTTAACCCTAAACCTCATAGCAGGACTGGGGGTGGGGTGGGGGGTCACTGGACCTCTTTGTTCCTCTTCTCAATGTGGCCACATCTGTTAAATTTCCTTCCTGTGCCTTTTGTTATTATCTGTTTGTTTAGCCTGCGAGTAAGAGCGGCTGAGCCTAGCTTGCAGGACCCTATGGGATTAAGCGCTGACCATCACAGTTCTGATAATATTACTGTGGAGGAAACAGCTTCCCTAGACAGGGACAGGCACCATAAGGAGACAAATCTTTGCAGACAGACACTTAGACAGACGTGTGGACGGCTCCATGGCCAGGGCAGGCTGTGCATACATGTCAGCATCTGGCATAAAAGCAAATCTCACACACGGGAAACGAGGGAAACTGTGGAGAGATAACTAGAATGAAAACAGGTTCCAGCTTTACAGGTACGCCAACAAGACAAACGTTCTGTTACCTCAGGACAGAGACTCTACACACGACTGTGACGGATTCTGCAGCAAGTGACAGGCTCAGGTGACCAGAGAAGGTTGGGCCAATGAAGCATATGTTTTCCCCATCCAGCCTTGAGAGAATACACACACAGGCTCTGCAAGCAGCCACTGAGTGTGCTGGGGTCCGCTCTGTAATTCGTATTGAGGAGAGGAGACACACTACAGAAGGCTCCCAACACTACCCCCTCATGTGATGTGAAGTCAGCTCCCTGGGGCTTCCCTGCACTGCCTCTTTGGAAACCGCAAACAGTCATGGGCTCTACAGGCACACAGGTGAAGTTTTTGTTACTCTTCAATGTAACTTTCCACATCTAACTCAAGTCCTGGCAGCTGCCTCTCCTCACTGCTGCTCAATAGGCAGACGCAGTCACTGGGTCTGGAGTCTCTCACATGGGTTGCCATGGTGCAGCAGTGACTTCCTTCCTCTGGAATGGACATCCCAGCCCTACCCCATCAACAGCAAGAACACTCTAGGATCTCCTGCCCTGTGTGACAGGAGAGAGGGACTAGTAAGAGAGTTACAGACCCCTCGGTGGCTCACATTCTATATTGCTTTGTCTAGGGCTCCTGAGAGCTGGGCTCAGGGCAAGGTGTCCTGGAAAGGGGGTGGGGCAGGGGCCTGTCCCTGTTGAGCCGCACCAGTGGAGGCCATGAGCTGAGGCAGTAACGGGAGCTGTGCACGACACAGTGCCAGCCTCTCCCACAGCCCTGGGGCATCATGCGTGGGTCTGGGTCTCCCACTGTGGAGCGGGACACATTCATAGATAGTTGCTGACGGGCCAAGGCTTGGTGAAGACACATGCGTAGTTGCCGGGCATGTAACAGCACCCCCCAGTTGTTGCAGTCATTGTGCGTACATGACAGACAGGCATCTCCAGCAACAGACAATGTGATGATATGCCATGGTGGGTAGCTGACGTGCAACAGGAGCCCTCAGCAAAGACACTGAGTTTCTATGCAAAACCAGGGACCCAGACAGGCAGAGACCCGAGGCACAGCCAGATGAAGCTGGGAGGTATATAGCTCATGTCACTATCAGGGCCACAGTGAGGTGGGAAGATCACTGCCCAGCCTCAGCCACAGAGGAAAGGAAGGGCAGTTTGGCAGCCGGAAGTAGTGTCTAAGCTGACTTCAGTGGGAGGGGCAGCATCATCCCAGCCGTGACTGGGAAGGTCCCTTCCTGCAGCCTGGGGCTGAATCCCCATCCCTGTTGCTAGGGCAGGTGAGGGAAACCTTGATAGCATGGGGTCTCTTTATTCCGTTAACACCCCATGTTTCCTCCAGGTGCCTCCCGCAGGACGGTCACCTATGGCCTGTAAGCCCCACCCCTGGATGTCCCCTTTCAACTTCCGGCACCTCCTCAGAGGGCCTGTCATCCATGCCCTCTGACCCCCCTCCCCAGCAAAAGCCCTCTTCCCTTCCCAGGGTTCCTACACTGGTTTCCTCCTTCGCCCCTCCCCCAGGTCTCTAACCCACTGTGGAGGCTGATCTCGTCTGTCCACTTCTCTCCCCAGGGCACTCCTTCCCTCTCCCAGATGTCCCCTCCTCCTCAGGTGCCTGAGGGCAAACCCTGAGATTTCTTTGCTTAACTTCCAGGAGGGAAGGCACTGCCTGTTGGAGGGGAGGTGAGTTAGAAAGATCGGCTCTGGGGGAGACAGAGATCCCGCGCACATGTAAACTCTGCTGGTTTGCCACAGTGGGCCCTCCTCACACCCAGTGTCCTCGCCTTGGGCTGCCTCAGCTCTGCCAGCCTTCAGCCCCTCTGTGTGATGCTCCAGTCGTGGACCGCCATGCCCACACCGT